TTTAGATCATTAATCCATCTTGATGTTTTGTTTATGAAGTAAGATATGGGTCCTGATTCCATTCTGCAAATGGAATTCCTATTTTGCAAGCACCATTTGTTAAAGATACTATCTCTTCAAACTTAGTGCATTTCAATCTCTATTCTATTTCATCGATCTGCATGCCTCTCATTGTACCAGTAGTAGGGTGTTTTGATTAGCATTGCTGTGTATTAAGCCTTGAGATCAGGGAGTGAGAAGCCTTCTAATTTGTTCTCCTTCTCTAGTGGTGCTTTGCTTATTCTCAATCTCATTCCTATCCTTATAAAGCTGTTGATTAATTTTTCCCATCTCTTTAAAGAATGATGCTGGGATCTGGATGAGAATTGCATTATATTTATAGATCACTTTGGTAAGTGTTAACATTTACAAAATATTAGGTCTTCTTATCCATGAGCATGGAATATTATTCCATTTATGTAGCTCTCTTTTGGTTGTGTAGAGTAGGATTTTGTGGTAGTTTTTCTTCTGGCAAGTCTTTTGTTTCTTTAGTTAGATGTATTCCTAAGTATGTCCCTTTTTGAGCAACAATTGCACATGGTATTGCTTTCTTGATTTCCTTTTCAGGGTGCTTTTCCTTAATCTACAAGAATCCTACTGATTTTTGTATGTTGCTCTTGTACCCTGCTACATTACATATCTTTCAAGTATTTCCAATTATTTTCTGACACTCTTTGGGGGTTTCTACATATAGCGGTCTATCATCTGCAAATAAAGTGAATTTTGAGAGGTTGGAGATGGAGGTGCAGAAGGAGATAAGACTCAATCAGGAATGAGAAGTATAGAGAGGCTTTATTAAGACGAGGGAAAACTCCCGGATGTCCGCAACCCAATGAGTTAGGTCAGGGAAATCGCAGCTTGTCGGTGAGGCGGTGGGAGATAAATAGGGCTGGAGCTAGGGAGGTATACGTTGACAAGAAGGGAGATTTTTGCTTGCAGCTGCAGGACCTTAAGTCAGGATGCGATCTGTGGGAAGTGCCTTTGTTGTTTGCCAACCTGCTCCCTGGAGTGCTGGGACAGGGGCTGCACAACCTTGGTCTGGGGAGATAAGCTCCTTGGAAAGTTGGGGCAGAAGATGCATACTTCAATAGGTCATTTATCTTCCTGAGAGGCTGGAAACGGGGGTCTTGAAGTTCTATCTTCCTGAGGAGCCGGAGAGGAGATGGGGGCTGCCTAGTCCAGACCCGGCCCCCAAAATTTTACTTCCACTTTGCCAATTTTGATGCTTTTGTTTCTTCTTGTTTTCACAGTGTGGAATGAGAGTAGTGAAAGGGGCTGTCTTTGTTGTTTGGTTTCCATTCACAAGAGGACTGTTTCCGTTTCTCTGCCTTGAATGACATGTCGCTGTTGGTTCTGCATATGTGGCCTTTATATGTTGAGGAATTTCCTTTCTGTTCTTATATTGTTGAGGGTTTTATCAAGAATCAGTGCTAGATTTGGTAAGATGACCTTTCTGCATCAATTAATATGACCATATAGTTATTTTGCTTTGTTTTACTGATATGGTGGATTACATGGACTGTTTTTCTAATGTTAAACTACCCTTGTATACCTGGTTATGACGTCTTAGGTTTTTTTATATTTTGTTGGATTCTACTGGCTAGGATTTTGTTGAGGTCTTTTACATCTATGTTCATGTGTGATAGTGATGTGGATGTTCTATCCCGGTGATATCTTTGCCTGGTTTTGGTATCAATGCTATCCTCACTTCATAAAATGAATCCAAGTCAAAGTTGGCTGTCTTTTTCTATTCTGGAATATTTTGAGTAGAATTGGTATCAGCTCTACTCTTAATGCTCCATGGAATTCCCTAAAGAAGCTGTCTGGCCCTGAGATTTTTTTTTGTTATGAGTTTAGTAGCCAGATCAATGTCTTCTTTGGTTATGGATCTGCTCAGTTTTCTTTACATCAGTCTGAGTTAGCTTAGAGTACAGTCCTGCATAGTATTGTGTTATTATCTTTTTTATTTCAGTTGGTTCTTTGGTGTTGTCTCCTATTTCATTCCTTATTTGTGATAGTTGCATCTTCTCCTTTATTAGGTTTGTTAGGTTTACCAATGTTTTCTTAATTTTGTTAATCCTTTCAAATACCAACTTCTTTTGTTCATTCTTTTTATTGTATTTCTGTTTTCGGATTCATTTATTTCTGCTCTAATTTTTATTATTTATTTTCTTCTGATAGTAGAAGGTTTATTTTGCTTCTCTTATTCTAGCTGTTAGGGATGTTGGAATAATGTGTTGATTTGGGCTCATCTTTTTTTGATGTGTGCATGCATTTATTGCTATAAACTTCCCTGTGACCCAACGACCCAACGATTGTGGTATATTTTATTTTCATTCTCATTTACTTTAAAGCATTTAAAAAATTCCTTCTTTATTTCTTCAATTACCCAGTAGGGTAGCATGTAGTTCAATTTCCATGTATTTGATCCCACCCCCACTGTCCCAGTCTTCCTATTGTTGATTTCCAATTTTATAGCATTGTAAGCTGAGGAAACTGTTTAAAAATTCTCAATGTTTTACAATTTGTTAAGACATGTTTTGTGGCTTTATAGACTGTTCTAGAGACTGTTCTATGGGCACTGGAAAAGATTGTATACGCACTGTTGTTGGGTGGGGTGTTCGCTATATATCTGGAAGATCAAGTTGATTAATTGTACTGTTTACTTCTGTGTCTTTGCCAAGTTTCTTTCTAGTTGTCCTGTTCTTCCTTCAGAGCTGTGTACTGAAGTGTACTCCTGCTAATATTGTGTATTGTCTATTTCTCTTTTGAAATATTAAAGAGTTTGGCTAATGTATTTTGAGGATCTTTCATTAGGTGCATAAATAGTTGTACTTGTTGTGCACCCAGCACCTGATCCTTGAGGGTATAGCTCCAATCTCAGATGGAGCAGAGGTTGTCTGTGAGCATGGAGGTGCTTCAGTGGCCTGTGGGTGAGTCAGGGTTGGGACTGACTATGCTGCTGGTGACCAGGAGAGTGTGGGGAACAAGGAAAGATCCTACATTTCTCATCACCAACAATCAGTGTACACTTATGCTGTTTGGCAGCTGTTTCAGTCAAATGCTGCTTTCAAAAGTTCCAGGTGTTTGCACTCTATCAGGCCAGCCAACAACTCGCCCATCTGTCTCCTCTCTCACTGCTCCCCAGCCCCAGCTTCTTCTCACAGGTAGCATTCAATCTACTTCTTTATCCATTCCTCTGAAGCTCAGGGTTCCAAGACTGTTGTCTGTATCTGTTTCATTTGTTCTCTCATGTCTTTGGTGTACAAAGTCTGTGTAGACGTCTGCCTAGTCCACCATCTTGCCTGAAGTTCTTTCTTATTAATCTTTAAGCTGTTAACCATTTGATGCTTCGAATATTTTCCCCAATTTGTTGTCTGCCTTACAATGTTATTTATGATATACAATGTATCTTATATACATTTTCCCTCCTAGTTTCCTCCTTTACTTTTATTTTTAGGAAGGCTTCTCTACCCTGAGGTTAGTGAATGTTTTCCTGTACCCGTTTTTCCCCTAGTTCTTTTAACTTATCCACATTTTTAAGCCTTTAGGTTCCTCTTAGTAACTGCTCAGACTTAATTGATGTTCTATAATTTACCTCTCTACTTCATATTTCTCTTCTTGATCTCTCTTCTAATATTCATTGTGATTGCTGCACAGAAGTTCACAGACAAAATTCATTATTAAAAGGTTTATTAAGGATATTAAGTTGTGATACCAGCGAGAAATGCTCAGGGTAGTTGTTTACCACTTCATGGTACAAAGTTTCAGGTCTGCTAATAAATGCCCCAAAGGTTACACCACTCTGCTCTAAGCCTCAAGCCAAAGGCATTCAGCTCAAGCTCTATGGGTCAGCAGACCTAGACCCGTGAATTTAAGTGCCCAGAGTCACCTATGGAAACTGCATGGTTTTGTAGACACTATGAGCCAGGGGTGGAGTCAAACCTGTCAATTTTGTATGAGAATGAGGGACTTGGGAAATGCCTCTTTCTCTGTCATTTCACCTTCCTCCTTGCTGGAACTTCACTGGGATTCTGTGTCCCCTACCAGGGAAGGCCCCATGCTGGCTGCAGCCATCAACCTATCTGTTCCCATCAACCTTGGATCCATACTTCTCTCTACCTGTGATCGTCCTGCTACCTGGTTCACCTGACTGCATCACTGACCTGCTGCTACATGAGTCCGAAGAGGGACTGATGGACTAGCATAGCATGGCTTAGACTGGGCTGGGGGGCCTTCTTGGCATAAAACTCTTTCTGATAGACGAATGTCACTGGATTTGTTTCTCTATCCAGCCTCTTATGGCACCCCACTCTAATAAGCCTCAGCCCAAAGGCACTCAGCTCCACTCCCATGGGTCAGCACGTCCAACTTCTCCAATTCAATGTCCAGAGGCACCTTGTTCCACAAGCCAGCCTCCTGCACAAAAACTCTCATCTTAACTTATTCCAAGGGTTGGGAAGTCCATCACTCTGTTTCCCTCTCTGGCTCCTAATTCTTCCCTGATCATCGGATGGTCCAGCTGTCATCTGGATCCGTGAGGTTCACTGCACAATGGCTCTTGCTGGTACTGAGATCCCTCCTCTGATTCGCAGAAGGCTCATTCTATACACAGCAGGATGGCACTCCAGGGAAGCCTGTTCACAATTACAGGTGAATCCTATCAGTATCTTCCCCCACCTTCTTATCAGACCCCTGCAGGGAACAGTCATTTGGCGAGTTGGAGATTTTGGCTGGAATAGCCACATTAAATAATTCACTGCCCCTACACTCACATATACACTCCCTTACAGACATGACTTCTGTAACAGACACAAACTTTTTAAAAATTGAGAATGACTTGACTCTTCTTAGTGGAGCTTATGATTTTGTATCCTTAATCAGGTATTGTGTTTTCTGCCAAAAGATACATTCCTGTGTTTCTTCATTTAGTCACTTAACAGCTGTCTTCTGATTTTTAGGCGTCCTGGAACACTGATGGCGAACTTTAAGGGCCATGCTCTCCCAGGGAGTTTCTTCCTGATAGTTGGACTTTGGTGGTCGTTGAAGTTCCCACTTAAATACTGTCATCAAAAACGGAAGAGCAACCATATGAACCACAATTATTCACGTCTCGAGATAGCTGAAGCAGTAATTAGGACTGTGTTTCCAATTATTGGTAAGAGTGGGGGGAACGGTGGGGGGGTGGTGGTGGTATTTGATCCATAGTGTCGATCTATCATATCCAGAACCTTGGGTCCTTTTTCTGGTCCCTGTGAAATAAGTATTTTGACTGGCAGAGATAACAGATAGGGCTATAGTGAAAATGAAGGGGTGGGAGGACAGAGTAGTTGAAAGAGAGCTGAATCCACATCACTCATTCCTGGAACGTGGTAGATAATGCCTAAAGGATTTCAAGTTGGCTACTAAGCTAAGTATCGTATTAAAGTATCTATTGTGTAACACATCCCATCATAGTACACGATGAAAAACTACCAAACTACATTCTTTGCCCTAGAAAGATGTAGGTATAAATTATAGGACTAGAACACATACTATGTGACACAAATAAAAATTTTAAAGAGATTAAAGTAGATTAGGTTCATGCACATGAGCTATATGAGAAAATACTGAATGGAGTTAGGATTTGGTTTAGAAAAATAATCTTTTTTTCTCCAATTGCCTTTCCTACTAACATTTCATAGTAGTTAACGTCTTACTCCCTCCCAAGAATTCACAGAGAGGGGTAATTTCTATTAGAAGGTAGGTGTAAGTAGATAGCAGAACAGAGGGGAAAACCATCAGCAGGGCACTGCTTGAGGTTTTCATTACTCTGCTTCATTCCAACAAAACCCACAGCTTCTAGTTCTTTCCATCCACCCCACTCCACCCACAGGGGAGTAGTGGCAGTCATAGAACGTTCTTCTTCAGGATCCGCTCCTCACGTGGATAAAATAAGGAATTCTGTTTTTTCAGTTGCATTCCTCTCCTGGTAATTTTCGTCTACAGAGTCTTGAGGCAACTACAGTCACTGCTTGAAACAAAGTTTACTCCATTTCATTTCTCTTGTCTAGTTGAATGTTTCTCCCTCACCTCTCAGTCAGGCAGGCGTTCATGTCTTTCAGGAGCAGAACGCGGCAGGGGCCATTTGGCTTAAAAGGGTAAGGAAAGCATCAATTTCACCTGGAGAGAGCTGGGAAAATGATGACAGTTGGCCTCTTGGTTGGAGTAAAAATAATACCTGTTCAATAAATATCTCCTGACCATTACCAGAAATTCACTGTTCTAGGTTTGGGGACCCACACATCGTCCCTGTTTTCTGAGGCTTCCATTTCAGTGTCCCAGGGATGTCCTTTCCTGGACTCCTTGATTACATACATATAGACATATTTAGATATAGATATAGAGAGAGAATAGGTCAAAGAACAAGTGTTCAGAGTCCAGAATGTTGGGATGGGGCGCTTGAATTCTAGACTTCCTCACGAACACTGTGGACAAGGCATATAGGACAATCTTGTTCCTTCCTTAGTAGAAAATAAAAGCTGATGGGAACAGAACTGGGAGTTACATTGCGGCCCAGCTTCACCCAGCTTCTAGCTACAACCTTGGCTCTCCAAAGACACAGACTAACCAGAAACCGTATCTAAGACCTCCACCCACTTTTCTCTCTCAATGTTCAGGAAACAGAGCTGGAAAGAGCCCACAGCTTAGCCTAGTCCTGTACCAGAAAGGGCACTCACTGGAAGTCTGCCCTGATGGAGAGATGGCAACACTGTCTCTGTCCCTGCATGCATAGACATGTCTCCGTCACCGGCGTTCTATTTGGAGTTTAGCCTTTTCAACCCACTTCTTCCTTCACTCTTGATGTGGCAGGGGAGCCCAAGGCTTAATGGCTTTCCCTTTATCTCATGCAAGTGATCTTATCTTTGCTACTAGACAAATTCCCAGGAGACTGGAGTGGGATGTGTTTATCATCTAATAGGTTTTATTGGGAAATATGACCTGGGGAGTTTTTAGACTAGGAGGAAGAACAAAGCAGAGAGAAGGGAGAACCGAGAATAATCTAAAGTTATCAGAATAGCTGCAGGCAAGGACAAGCAGGATTGAGATAAGAGAGTAAGCCAGAGCGAGATAAGAGCAGAAACAGGGACCAGGGAATCAGCAAGGGCAAGAAGAGAAAAAGAGAGGAACCATGTGCTGCTATCCCCTGGGTGCTATAGTTAATAATCAGGGAGGGCACCTTGTCTTCCTGACTGGCAAGTTTCAGTGGTGGTGGTGGGGAGTTGACATAAACTCTGGCCCGCTGCACACATGAAGACTTTGGCCTGTGCAGGAAGGTGTGGAGGTGGAGAGAATCATGGGAAGGAGAAGCTCAAAATGGTCAGGTGCCACTTTAAAGCTTAGCCTGACCCATCACTGGGCAGCTTTTTTACTATTGTTTCTTCATTCTTCACATCCTATACCCTGACAATAAAACCAAAGTCTTTCCATTGGTTCTTCATTCCTCATGCTTCATCCCCTGAAAAGCAAAACAAGATGTCTGCACAAGTCAATCGGTGAATACCTCATTTGGTACTGGAGTAATTGAACCGTGGCAGCTGATTGGCTGAACCCCAGGCCACCTCTAATGCACATCTCTGTACGAGGCAGTGCTATTACCCAGACAACACTTTAAAGAAGGAATCCTGTCTTCTAAGAATAATCAGGGAAGGGGAAAGTTTTACACACACACACACACACACACACACACACACACACACACACGTTTATTAGGAGAGGTGCATGCAAGTGGAGATAGGGAGAGCCTATGGCTTATGCAGAACTTACCTGTTTCCCTAACAAAAGTCATTAAGTGGAAATGAATTTTTTTTATTAATTAGATAAGTGTGAATTTCCAGGCAAATAGCCTATTCAAGCAAGACCATGATAATTAGGTGCACACACAGTAATCTCTTCGAGATGGATCCGTTGGGAAGGCTCCTGGTACTGGTGAGCAAGACTTATTCTGGGAGAAGTGGACTGGGTTATAGAACCAACTCGATCATCCAGGAGCTATTCTAGCAGGAAACACTACCTATCGCTGTGCAGACAACGAATACCATTTGCATAAGTAGTAGTCACTTTCCTTCTAATAGATGGGCCAGATGCCATTTCAACAGGAAACGCTGTATGTGGCGATGCATATCACAAATCTATTATTCGTATGACAGTCAAGTTCTTTAACTGACTGAACTGGTGCAGGAAGCCGGGTGAGACTTTATAAAGAGGGTGTCTCAATGTCAACAACAGAAGAGTTTTCCCACGTTAGAACAAAGAGTATTTGAACTTATTTTCTGAATATAACATGCTTAAATCTTAAGATGTTGGACATCTCTTTGAACTGAAACAAAGAGAAAATTGGATCAAAGCCACATGAGGGGGTTAAGTCCCACTAACTTGTTTTATCTCTACTTTGCTCATGACTTTGAACTAATCTGTGTTGTCTTTTAAGAAACCCTTCCTCCATCCTGCACTTCCACTTTCATTTCCTGCAGGTATTCTGGCAGAGCAGTTTGTTCCAGATGGGCCTCACCTCCACCTGTCTGCTGACGACCACTGGGTCAAGCTGATGAACTGGCAGCACAGCACCATGTACCTGTTCTTTGCAGCTTCAGGAATCACTGATATTCTCACCTACTCTGTCACCTACCTTCCTTTGGGGATGGACAGATTGGTTATGGCTCTGGCAGTATTCATGGAAGGTAATTTAGAATGGACAGAAAAGAGTAGACTGCTAAGTTGTGTTTGTGATGGATGAGAACAAAAGACCAGAAACAT